CCCAAATTTCATTTCTTGGAGTACCTGAACTGGCAAGCCTCTCCTATTCGAATCATCTTTCTAGGAGCCAGTTGCTCCAGAGCCATACCTTAGCTGCAGCTGTGAGACCCTGAGCAGAGAACCCAACCGCGTCGTGCCAGACTCTGACCTGCACATCCTGAACCGATGATTGAGTGTGTTTAGACAGATATGTAAGTTGTTTTTGTCATCCAGCATTAGAAACTAATACGCATGCCTTTAGACTGTGAGGAGAGATTCAAAGACAGTCCTTTGATGGTTAAAATAACTTCCCAGTGGACTAGTTTCAGCCCCATACTTTTCAAACCATGTTTGTCTTGCACTACTGCCAATTCCAGGAGGTTCCACAGGATAGGTAAACATTGTGACACATACTGCGGCTCTGGACCTTTGTGTGTGACATCCAGAGAGTCCCCGCAGGCAGCTGGCCCCCACTTAAAAGGCTAGTAATCACTTCATTACATATGACCTTGCAGTAAAAAAAAACTGCCATGATCTCTTATGGCTCCTATAAGAAGCTCTAGCCTCCTGGGACACAGAAATATATACAATATAAAGATAGGAAATGCTTGATTCGATTTCTCCTGGAAGCATTTTACTTATTAAGTGCTATGAGAATTAGAAATGCAGCCAATCATATAGTTAATTGCTCTGTTCCCAGAAGGTTATAGATTATAACCTGAATTCTGACATTAGGCCAAGCCCTAAAGTACCAGGAGGACAGTAGGGCCTGCCCTGTAGGTATTTCCATCCCAGAGGGTATGAAGCCTGATTCTTGGAGGTCTCCATATCTGAAAACTCTGGTTGGAGGCGGGGAAGCACTGGATGCTGGAGAGACTGTATTCACATACCAAGGGGTGGAGTGAGGACTCGGACCCATCATGGTTCCAAAGAGACCTTTGTTGGTGGCCAAGGGGATACAACCCTCTTCCCTTTATAAATAGAAAAATCGTTTTCCCTTTTTCCTCCCCTAGAATACCAAGCAAAATTTGTATGCATAGGATATGTGACCTGTCTTGTGTCACATCATCCTGGGAGTAAGAATTGGGGTTTGGGGAGCCACATAGTCACTGTTTCCTTTTAAGTGAATAACTATAATGGGTCTCTGTTCCAGATCATCTTATGTGCACATTCAAGATAAGTTACAGGTAAGAAGGATGAATATTAAAGGCCCATCAGAAAGTGACTGTGAACCAAATAAATAATATTTCATTAAACCAAATTAAGTGTATTTGTAAACCATTCCTCTTAACTGGATTACTAGATTCATTCTTCTTAACTGAATCCAAAACATTTTGGCAACCTCTCCAATTGCACCTGACATGAGAGCCTGGAGAGGAGAGAATTGAGGGTCCGATGGGGTTCAGGACATGCTCCCCTAAAATATGTCACCTTGATATATTGACTATTGTAAACTGAAGGAGTTTGACAGAACAGCGAAGTAGAAAGGTCACTCTGACCTTCCTCTACCTTCTCCCCCACAACAGGTCATAAAACCCTCCTGTGACCAGTGCTCCCTCTATACCAAGAGGAAGGGAGCACCCTTTTCACAGAAGCCATAGGGACTCCGAGAAGAACCCAAACAGTCAGGCCTTGCTATGTGTTCCCCCATTTGTTGCACTTACCTGATATTCTTTGACCTGTCATATTTCTGCACTGCTCTCTAATCTTGATGATGGAGCTTCAAGAGTCCAGTGTGGTGTCTGTGTGTGTGTGTGGGACTGCAGGTCCTCCCAGCCTCCAGGTCAAGCTGTCTTGTCAGTGTGAAGCAGAACAATGCACTGGTGTATCCTGGCAGTTCAACATCAGCATACAGACATCCCTTCTCTTTGACATGATGAACATGAACTAGACAGCCATTAATCCTGGAGCCAGAGGGATCAAGGAGTGTGAGAACAACAAGGACTGGCAGAGTATTTCAGGAGGATCTCAACAGCAGACTGCAACTACTGACTTAGGGAATCCACAGAATACTGGGAGAAAGTTCTGGAGCAAACCGGTAACTGAGCAGGTTGTGGAGGATGTGTTAGTTCTCTTTAAAGGTCCATGTCTTCCCTGTGTGGATATAAGTGTGTGTGTGTCTTATTGAAAAGTTGATGGATTGGCTGACTGACTGCTTTTTGGTAGACTTCTTGTCTGGAGAGCCAGTGGCTGCCATAGGATTTCCCACTGTCCTCCTTTCCCATCCCACTCCCTTTGTGCAGGGGCTCCCTTCCCCCAAACCAAGGATCCAGTCACCGTGGACTGCTGGATGGTCCCCAAATCTATATGCATCATTGTGCTTCAAGGATTCTCTTCTCCCTCTGTTCTGGTTATCTTGAACCAATCAAGCATCACTTTGTGTGAAGCCTTCACCACTTCCTGGGCAGAATTAAGCACCCCCCAATTACATCATCCTCAAACAGGCTCACCCACTGTAAACACGTCCAACAGCAGGCGATCAGAGGGGCTTCAGCTGTCTCCCTCAGTAGGAATATGGGCTCCATGAAGACGGGACACTGTCCTCTGCTTCTTTATACCCCAGAACCTGATCGAGTAGTTGTCACATAATGAGTCTGTAAATAAGGAGATTACATGGGCTACCTGGGGAAAGTAGGTGCTGAAAAAAGCATATTTTTAGTTTTGACCAGGATCTTGCCTTTTTGTTTGCTTTAGTACCACCATCAAAGACTGCATATGGCACCCAGTCTTCATCCATCGAATGCATGGATGTTTCTAGTGATCCTGATCGGCTTAGACTTAATTTATAGCTGCATTGTGATCCCAGGATCAGGTACCATTGAAAGGTGAGAAACAGACTAGCCTCTGGCTCTTGGAAGGATGAAGACTGGTAAGGACTTGGGAGAGGTGAGCCATGGGTCTCAACAAAGCCCTTGTCCACAGATCCATCTCGACAGAGAAACGATGCCCTGTCTTGGTGCTGAGCCCCCACACTCCCCAGGAAGGCTGGGGATGACTGCTGTGGGTAGTGGAGGCTGGTATAGACAGCACAGAGGTGGACTGAGGGGAGGGGATCAAGTAGCTACTGCTGTGGGGACAGGAACTAAGATAGAAGGCTGGGGTGGGGTCCCCATCTACCCAGCATTCCCCCATACTTTGAGGTAAACAGTCCTTTTTGTCTGAGGATAACATGAGTTAGTTCCATGGTCTTCCTAAGGCCGTGACAGCTCCTCCATTATCTGCTGCTTCCTCTCTAGACAATGAGAAGATTAACAACCTTAGACCAACCCTTAGTGGCTAAAACTGACACTAGTGACAGCCTGACTACCAATCTAATATATGATCTTCTACTCAGAGGTGGGTCTCCCAAGAAGCTAATGAGGTTCTCTTGCATGAGCTCCTCCCATGGCCCTTGAAGAGGCCCATACAATGTGTTGACTTGGTCATTTTTGGAAAAGGTATTTGCCTACAGTCAGCTAGGACTGCCTGTTTTACTCTGACACTCTTTCTAGCCTGCTTTCCTCCACGTGGTGGAATTGGAGTATATCTAGCATTCTTTTTATTCAGTTGGGAGGAATAATAGTTAGGAATATGTTTATTTTGGCATAATGAGGTATATTTTTGCGGTCACACTTTCATGTACAGGTAAATTATTGCTAAGCAGAAACCACAAGTTGACTGTGTTGATCGACTACATGTCATAACACAAAGTTACAGGGCCACAGGTTGAAGTGATATGTGAATCAACTGATCTGTGAACATATTAATATGTCCTGTGGAGTCTGGCAAAGCAGAAAGGATAAACAATGTGATACATTTACATATTTATTTATATTAATAGAAATCCATAAAGAATAAACTGCTATACAAAACACAGGTGATTCTCAGAGAGAGGATGTTGAGAGAAAAATATCATCGGAAAGAATATGTGTTCTATGATTCTATTTATAGAAACAGGCTCAGAAATAAACAAGATGCAGAAGCCGCTGGCAGGCAACTCTCCCATGGAGGCTCCACTGAACTGGGAAACACTGCTCACTTTTGTGACTATGTATTGTGATGATACTAAGTAGATTGGATGTGGTGATCATTTCCCAATATATACAAACTTCAAAACATTATGCTGTACACCTGAAATTAACATATATTATATGTTAATTATACCATTAAAAAAAAGATTATCTGCTAAATTTCAACAAGTAAAAATAAATAAAACACCACTCCTCCAGATCTTAAGTGATCTACACTGAAGGCCTCTCTACATGCTATAGAAATAACTTGTCAGGTTCTCGTAATTGGGTGCCTTCAAATTTCTAGTTGTTTATGCAAACCTGAGTGAATGTGACTTTTACGTTTTTCAGAACTGCCCTCTTGCGCTATTCAGGAACATCTTGGGACCGCACTGTAGAAACACTCAGGGACACCGTTGGTAAGAACCGAAGATGGTGTCTGGTGGTTCCGCAGTTCACTTCGCTTCTCCGGAGCAGTCCCTGAGGTTGCAAGGATTTGCGGCGAGAACACCTCCCCTTCCCTCGGAGCGCACGGGGCCTTTCGAGCTGATACAGCGGGCGGAGGAGAAGGCAGGCGGTGCGGTGGGCGGGCCCAGGGCGGGCGGCGCGGTGGGCGGGGCCTGGGCGGGCGGGATGCACGTCCCCGGGTGCCCGTGCGCCCGGAGGCCGCCTCGCTGTGCCGAAGAGCTGCCGCGCCGAAAGCCTCGGGAAGGACGAGGAACGGCGCGAGGCCGGGCACGATATGCCTCCCGCTGCCGTGGTCCCCGCTGGCGCCTGCGCGCCCGCGGCCTCGGAGTCGCAGTCCGGCCGCGGGCAGGCAGCGCTTTGAGGCCCCAGGAGGGCCTCAGCGCCGGCACTCGCCGCCTTCCCCGCCACCTGCGGCTCCGCCTCGGCTCGCTTCCTCAGCCGCCGGCCGCCATGGCGTGTGCCGCCCGGCAGAGCGCAGGCTCGGGACACACGGGACCTCCGCGGCACCGGGCGCTGCGCGGCCTGCTGTTGCTCTGTCTGTGGCTGCCGAGCGGCCGCGCGGCCGGACCGCCGTCCGCGTCGCTGTCCGAGCTGCACGCGCAGCTCTCGGGCGTGGAGCAGCTGCTGGAGGAGTTCCGCCGGCAGCTGCAGCAGCAGCGGCCCCAGGAGGAGCTGGAGCTGGAGCTGCGCGCGGGCGGCGGCCCCAGGGAGGACTGCCCGGGCGCGGGCGGCGGCGGCTACAGCGCCATGCCCGACGCCATCATCCGCACCAAGGACTCCCTCGCGGCCGGCGCCAGCTTCCTGCGGGCGCCGGCGGCCGTGCGGGACTGGCGGCAGTGCGTGGCGGCCTGCTGCTCCGAGCCGGGCTGCTCCCTGGCGGTAGTAGAGCTGTCTCCGCGACCCGCGCTGGGCTGCTACCTCTTCAACTGCACCGCGCGCGGCCGCAGCGTCTGCAAGTTCGCGCCGCGCCGCGGCTACAGCAGCTACAGCTTCAGTCGCATCCGGCAGGGCGGGCAGGAAGGCCAGGAAGCTGGCGTCCCGGCCACGGCCCGGGCCTCGTCTCGGCTGGGTAAGCGCGCCGCTAAAGGAGGCTGGACCAGACCGCTTGGTCCAGCTGCCCTTGCACCTGCTGGGTGACTGCACCTGGAGATGTGCCTAGGCGGTCCTGCCGGGCCTTCCTCAGCCAAGTTAGAGACCAGACCCCCCCGAAGTTATTTCAGTTGCGGACGTCCAGAAGCGTGGCTTTGGTTTCTCAGCCTTACGGATAGTTTCAGAGAAATAGCATTACATTGGGCAAAAGCAGGCACGGTGGCTGCTTCTGGAGTTTTTCTAGGCTGGGGAGGGAGGTAGGGAGGTTTCTCTGAGAGGATACACGGAATGATTTAAAGAAGAAACGCACAGGGCCAAAAAAAAAGAAGTTTATTTTAGTCTCAGAGGTTTTTGTAAGGCATGTTTGTGTCAAGTAATTGCAAGAGCAAACTCGAATTAGATGCTAGGTTATTCGTAGCACACCTTTGTTTTCTTGGCTCTCAAGATTCCACCTATAGTTGTTTTTATCAGACAAAAATGGGCAGGGAGATGTGTCAGGTATTTTTGAAGTGGGTCCAGCTGATTACCATGAACTACGTTTTCGTTTTGTAAGGAGGGAAAAGAAGGGGCCTCATCTTGGTGGAAAATAAAGTTAAAGGCAAGTCTCTCTTTAAAGGAGGTAAAAATGATGCTTTTCTTTTTTTGATGGTTTTGCTTTCTGCAGATGCTCAGAATGAGAGTCAAGACACATCCAGGAGGCACAGAAAATTGTAGCTTTGGAGATTCAGGTCCTTGAGGGAATAAAACCTTGATGGCCCGTGGTTGGCTAAAGTGTGTTTGTTGTACTCTTCTTGTTCTTTGACTTACAGTAACACAGGCATGATATTTTAGTAACATTAAAGGGAAGTAGCCTCAGCCACTTTGAGAATCTGGAATCTCTGTGATCTGTGGGTCTAAAGAAAAGGATCTGGAAGTCTGTGCCCACAGAAGCCCACCTCCACCCAAGAGAAGACAGAACCCTTGTCAGGGGTCTAAAAAGCAAAGGTCAGTGTGAGTGCTCAGCCTTGAGGCAGACACTAGAAAGGACCCCAAAGTTTTCTCCTCCAGTGGAGGCAGGAGGCACTTTCACCTGGACCCCCACCAAAATCCCTGAGCCTGCCCCGTGGCTGTTACACACACATCCTTCTTTGCCCAAAAAGCCTGGACCAAAAATATCCCGGCAACAAATAAACAAAATCCCTTCCCCTTGTTCTGAACATCTGGAGCAAAGAAGGCTTTCCTATAAGCCAGGGAAACTGAAAGGAAAATAAACAAGGAAAAGAATATGCCCATGGAATAATTCTTTTAAAGTTTAGTTTACTAGTACAAGTGTCCGAGTTGTTTTTCCTCTACTTCCCTCTTTGCCATCCCTTCCCTAGGGAGAGTTAGTCTACAAATTCGGTTTTGTAGATGTTTCATTCACACTTCTTCAGATTCCCAGCAACATGGCAAAGGTTAACCCTACACACGTCTGTGTTATTCCTGTCCAGATGCTAAACCTCTTGGAGTTCTTTATGCTTCTGAGACGAGTTTTTCCTTCTTAAATTGTTTTCTCTCTCATGAGTATGTGTGGAATCAGGCTAAAGGAGCTTGAAAATCGTTTAGAAAAGCTCTTGCAGAGAATTTATTAGGGGATCCACTTAAGGTGAATAACAAGATCATGAAGAAATGGTGAGGAGCCAGGTGGGGTGGTATAGCACAGATTTATAGCAGAAACTGTTGCTGATGTTAATGAGTTTGGTGCTAAACTGTTAAAAGCTCCTTAGACACATGAACCTACTATGTCCCCACAGCACCCAAAGATCTAGGTTCTGTTATAATCCCCAGTGTACTCAAAGGCTTAGTGAGAGAGTAGCTTGCCCCAGGGTCTCCTAGCACATGAGTTGTGGAGCTGTGTTTGGAGCCCCCTGAATGTTCTCTCAGCTGTACGGGGCAACCTGACAGCAGAGAATTGGATGGTTGGATTTCCCAGGGTGGGACTGACCAGGTGGCTGTAGGATGGTAGGAAACTTGGAAGTGAGTGGAGGGTGCTACAGAAAGGTGTGCTGAAGTGACTAAATCTGCCTGCAGTAGTGTGCCGAGAGCAGGGTAGGGGGCTTGAGGTCCTGAGACCTGGGTTTGAGAGCCAGCTCCTCCTCCTAAGGATCCAGGGTGGACATGCTCTGTGAATTATAAAGGCAGCACACATAACCTGATGTAGTATAGACCCTGGTGCGGTTGGTCATGTGGCTGGCTGAAGGGATGGAGGAACCAGGTGCCTGATAAACGTGCAGAGCTATAGGAAGAGGGAGTGGAGCAGCAAGGATCTCAGAGGAGTTCGAGAAGATAAGCTCCCAGGGCTCCGGACTTGAAACTTTATGCGGTTTCCACTGGATATTCAGTTTTAAACTAGGATTTGGGGGAAGAATCTGTGTAATTTCTGAAGTCAGGGGCCCCCTTCTGTGCCAGGGAATATCTCGGCTGATAGGCAGCACTCTGCTCCCCTCTCTGCAGACTTTCAACACTTCCACCCTCAGACTCACCCTTACCTTCTCCCAGTGCAATGGAAGGAGCTGACCTTCCTGTTCAAGGCTAATCCCTCCACGCGTGCCTGACCAGTCTCCTGCCCCAAGAACCTGTCTTTCTCACAGTTTCAGCCTCTCCCTTTTGTGTTCTGAATAAACACCACAGAAGAGTGGCAAACAATTTAATAAATAATACTGAGATAATTGTTGGGACTGTTGGGGAAAATACATTCAGACCTGCAACTCTGACCACAAACAGTTAAAATCCAGATGGGTTAAAGAATTAAATAATTCTTTAAAAATTAATCCATAGGTTACTCCATATGCAGGAAAACTTGAAGAAAATAAACTCACATATATGGAGAGAAGATAATATTCTAATCAATTAGGTTACAGAGAAAGGATGGGTTATATGCCTGTGTTAAACTTTACATCAAGAAACAAAGGGAATTGCAAACAAGAGTCTGGGGAATATGGGATAAAAGTATTACATTAATAGAGCTTATGTGAATCAGTAAAAAAAAGTAAATGGGCAAAGGATATGAACAAACAGTTCTCAGAAGAGGATGTATAGTTGGTAAACATGGGAAAATATTTACCTTTAGCTGCAATCAAAGAAATGCAAATAATGTCAGCTTATGTTTATTAAATAGGCAAAAATAAGTTTACTCATATTGGCATGCATGTGGAAAATTTACATGGTATTGTGATACAGTGAGTCATAAGAAATATGATTTAAAGATGAAATGGGTGTCTTGTCATGTTCATGAGACTTTTGTACCCCGCCCAAGGGCAGGAGCTGGAGGTTGAATCAGCCAATGGCCAATAATTTAGTCTATCATGACTATGCAGTAAAGCCCTCACAAAAACCCAGAAGAGCATCTCTTGGATCCTGCTTCTCAGTGGGGTAGAGCTGCTACTCTTGGGGAACTGGAATGCTCCCACGTACCACCAAGCTGGGCCCCAGGCTCCACTAGGATAGAAGCTCCTTTTTTGGGACCTTGATCTATATATCTCTTCATCTGGCTATTAACTTGTATCCTTTATTAAGCTGGTAAATGTGTCCTGAGTCCTGTGAGCCATTCTACCAGTTAAATCTAAGCGGGAGGTCGTTAGAGCCTCCAATCTGTACCCAGTAGGTCAGAAGCATGTGACCAGCATCTGGAGTTGGGGGTGGCGGGCAGTCTTGTAGGACAGAGCCCTCAACCTAGGCAGTCCGGTGCTGTGTTCTAGCAGATAGCATCAGAATTGAGCTGAGTTTTCAGACACCCTGGTGGCCGGGAATTGCTTGGTGTCCTGTGTGTGTGGGAAGCTCCCCCGCCCACCCACCCCCACACACACTGGAACCGGGTCTGGAAACCTGAAGAAGTTGAACTATTACTGTGTGTATAATATTATTATTGTTGTATATGTAAGGAAAAAAAGACACCGACAGGTATAATCTTATATGGTCACCAAAAGTGTAAATTGGTATCATACTTAGAAATCAGGAAATATGTAGCAGAGACTATTAAAATTAGTCATTCAACCTTCTGGAATACTTTTTTAGGAAAACGATCCATTCCAAATGGAAACTACCGGAAGAAAAGTTTATTATGGCACTATTTACTATGGTGAAAAGAATTGGTAACAAAGTAAATATCCAATAGAAGAGGTTAGGAAGTGAGAATGGCAACTGTGAAGTTCATGTAGTCACCATGGGCAATACTAGGATTTGTGAATAAATGTCAATACATAGGCTATATTAGTAAATCAGTAGGTTAAAGCCAGGATGTAAACTTATATTTACTGTAACTGGAACGCTTTGGGTAGCCCAAGTATAGTAGGAAATGCAGAGCCCTTCAGAAAGACCCACACTGACCCCGATCTGACAAGTTTTTCACTTGGGTGGTCTTAGGCAGCTAAGTTAGCCTCTCTGACCCTAGTTTCCTCATGAGTATGACCCAGATAATGAAGCTTACCTCGGAGACTTTTGAAAGCTGAGTGAAATTATGGCTCAGGTGCACTTAGCATGGTGGCTGGTACAAGGAAATCACCCAATAAATGGCAGTTATTAATTTTTATTATCATCAGCTCATGTCAAAGAAAACCAGAACAGTACACACCAAAAATGACAATAATCATATCGGGGTTGTGAATAATTTTTTTCCTAAAGCATTACAATTAAACAATGGAAAGTAAACACACAAAAACCAGCAAGAACCATAGTGGATTTTGACCTGTAGTACCTAATTGTCTTCCCTTAGTCTGGCCCATCTTCCTCATCCTGACTTCAGGAGTCCATTGTAATTTTTCAGTCCTTGGCTGTATCATTTGCACTCACCATATAGATCCAGATTCCGGAACTACTTCCTTGCCATTAAGGCTCTGTTTGCAGCAGTGTGTTCTAAATCAAATTAGTTAACAATGTTATTCTTTCCTGTATAAAATGCCACTTAGATAAGCTCCATCAAAATTTGGTATGACTCTTATTTCACCTCTGTAGATCTTACCAAGTGTGTTTAGTTTTCAAAAGAAATCACTTTCCATAGTACTTAACATTGGTTTATTACATTTTTATGGTGAAAATTTAAAATTATATTTTTCTTGGCCTTCATCAACAAGTCAAATATTTTTAAATGCTAGCACACTCCTTCCCTCTTCCTGTTGTCACTTGTTTATTTTGAAGGCCAGTTTCTGAATAAATAAGCTCTGGCTCACTTTAAAATACATTATACACTGTAATTTTCCTGGACTTGAACTGAGGAGGAAATCTCTCTTATTTCGAATACAACAGTGATCAACTTGAAGGTTATGAGGGTTTCACTGTGTTCATAAATCATATCTTAAAGGTTACCTAAAGAGAAGTAAACAAATTTTTTTTCTTCCAGTAGGTGCAGGATTAATGAGTTTTGTAATATGTGGGATATTTCAGAGCTTACCTGATTTTTCCATTTTAAATCTTTGAGGGCTTAAAAATACATTATTAGTATTCATTGCTGTTTATAGCACATAGGTATAGTTTGTCTGCATAAAAACAGTATTTTAAAATAAATTTTAATGCAAACAGCTGCATAAACCATTCATTTAATGCAAATGAATGGTTCAGTGGTCTTTCGTTATGTCCTCCGCTAAAGTTCCCAGAGTCTGTCAGCTAGCAGAAGAGAGAGAAAATGGAGAAAGTATAAAGGTGATTGTTGAAAAAATGGTTTATTATATGAGTTTGCTTTCCTACTGAGTAATGTATTACCACTGAATTATAAGATGCTTTCCAGAATTTTAAAGTAGTAAACGATTGTGTGGAAAACGATGAAGCTTCCAGAACCAAAGGAAAGTTATTTATAAAAGGATCTAATAGTGATGCAATTGTTACATCTCTCCTTACTGGGGAGAAGCAGAATAAGGACATGAGGCCCTGGATCTTTGCTTAGAGGTGGAAAAAAGAACAAATTTCTTCTTAGGCAGCGGTTGCTTATATGGCTTGTTTATGAGTCATTAGTCCTTGTTGTTTTAAATGACTATAAAATGGGACTCATCTTCTCTATGGACATATTTTCCTTTTGGCAATGGCAAGTGTGCCTATTCCTTTTAAACATACTCATAAAAAAAGTCCATCTCTCTTGAACGCTGACAGCAGCATTCTCATTCAGAAAAGCCACAGCTCTGAGTTCCTCACACAAATTCTGTTTCTGGGTCTCTAGACAAGAAGGTAGGACTGGATGGGTAGGTCTCTGAACACCTAAAGGTTATGTTATCTTGTTGGAGGATTTTTCTTCAGCCGAGAATGACCCAATCGGATTAACGTTCCAGAAGAATCATTCTAGCTGCAGTGTGTCCAGAGTGATTACCCTCTGTTGCCTGGTGAAAAACTTAACAGAAGTGCTGCTAGCCACCAATCTCAGGCACTTCCTGGGTTGGCCCCTGGAAGCAAATTCCCCTGTGGCAGAGGAGAGCAGTGCCTCGGCAAGACCATTCAGAGGAAGTTAAGGAAGAACTAGGCCAGGCCAGAATTTGGACCTGAGCTTTGGAAGAGGGAGGAAATAGTGGATGCCAAAAACGATGTATTACAAGAACCTACAGAGTTCCTCCCCTGCCCCGGATCAGTTATATTACTAAGTTTCTTTAAAATATATGTTCATTTGGATAAGGTACTAATAAGAAGCTTAAATCAATTGAAATATTCACAGCTTGACCATTATAAATGTTTTCTGTATGCAGCTTCTCCTGTCAATCATCACTGAAGCAGCTGTTGGTTAAATATTAATATTTAAGTGAACATAGTGAGCCTTAAATTATTTACCATTCCAGATCAAAGGTACATACATGTTTTGCTATTGTAGGACATCTCAGAAACAGTCCAGCTTTGTTATAAAAATCAATTGCTAGAAGCTGTGAACCTCTTCTATTTCATAGATGAAAAATTGGATTCCAGAGAATTTTATGTGGGCTTTATTTTGTGTGGATCCAAGAACTTGCCTTAACTTTTCCAATTTAATTTCCTATCCATTCAACACTTTTATCAGTTCTATTTTTAAAACCTGAGAATAAGAAAAAAATAATCTTTGTTTTTTTTTCAGGCTTGTTTCAAAAATACTTTTTTTGGGGGTAAATTCCTTTAACAGAACTTTGAACTTAAGTTATTTATAAATGAAGTGAAAATTTCACTTTAGAGAGTAAAACTACTCCAGTTCGGAGGGCCACATACTCTGTCTTGTACCCACAGCTTTGTCCTAGCTATTGCTAATAGCTGACACTCCACACTTCCCTCTTCTGCATGTATTATAGCCAAGTTCCATATTCATAATATGGAACTGCCTTTTTAGTGTTTACTATATAAAAAGAATACAGTGGAAATCAATAAGAAAATAACTTTCAGTTGCTGTACATTCTCTTAGCAACTCTTGGCTGGACTAAATCTATTCTATCAAACAAGATACCTCTCTTATTAAATCAGAAAAAGTAGGGAATCATTTCCCTTGTGAATTATTTATTTTCTTTTACAGAAAAAGACAATCCCCCGCTTAGCAAGGCCGGGCAGGACGTGGTTTTGCATCTCCCCATGGATGGGGTGATTTTGGATGGCCGCAGGAGCACAGATGACCACGCCATCATCCAGTATGAGTGGACACTGCTGCAGGGTGACCCCTCAGTGGACATGAAAGTAAGTCATGTCATCATTGTAGTGCAGACGAATGGTTCAGTGGTCTTTCGTTATGTCCTCCGCTAAAGTTCCCAGGGTCTGTCAGCTAGCAGAAGAGAGAGAAAATGGAGAAGGTATAAAGGTGATTGTCGAAAAAATGGTTTATTATATGAGTTTGCTTTCCTACTGAGTAAACAGTGAGCCTGATCACTGGTTTTGAAGCTCATCCTCGTTCGTGCTGCTTTTTTGTTGACTTCTCTAGCACACAAAGCGCTCAGGCTTTGTTGTAACGACTTAGATTACATTTATAAAATTTTTATTTCGTCTTTTCTTAGTTCAAGGTCCAGGTAGAAAATCTGAAAACTACAAAGTAGACAGAGGAAACTACAGTACTGACTGTAGAATGAACTCATCCTTCACACGATCCAGAAGGAAACCATCTTCCCTAGCAGTGAGGCCTGCTTGAGATACTGGGGTTAGTAAGCGAGGGGCAGGGTGATACCAAGTGCTGCTCTTCAGGTTCCCCACACTGACTTCATCAGGCTTAATCTGGGCTGGGCCGGAATTGTGGAGGATGGGAATGAGACCCTTGTCCAGTAGCTGCCCTTTTTTTTTTAATTGAGATATAATTCACATATGACATCATATTAGTTTCAGGAGTACAGCATAATGACCCAATATTTGTATCTACCACCAACCATCAACACAGTAAGTCTAATGAACATCCATCACCACACACTTTTTTTTGGTGATAAGAACCTTAAATACTTAATCTCTTAGCAACTTTCAAATATGCAATACAATATTATGTATTATAGTCACCATGCTGTACATCACATCCCATGACTTATTTCTCTTATAACTGGAAGTTTGTACCTTTTGACCCCCCTCACGTGTTTCTTCTGCCTCCACCCCCTGCCTCTGGCTACCACCAATCTGTTCTTAGTCTCTATGAGCTTAGTGTTTTGTTGTTTCAATTCCACATGTAAGTGAGGTCATATGGTATTTGTCTTTCTCTGAGTTGTTTCACATAGCATAATGCCCTTGAGGTCCATCCATGTTGTGGCAAAATGGCAAGATTNGGCAACATAATTTCAATCTTCCCATGCCATTCTCCCTATGTGCATGTCTTTGTCCATATATCGCCTATTAAAAGGACACTTGTCATAGGATTGGGGCCCACCCTACTCCAGTTTGGCCTCATCTTAAATAACTATATCTGCAATGACCTTGTTTCCAAATGAAGTCACACTCGAGGTACTGGGGATAATGGTTTTAACATGTGAATTTGGGGGAAGCACAATTCAGCTCATCGTAATGGCATCTTTCTAACAGAATTATGGTTGAAGTATCAAGAAATATTTGCTCAAAGAATAGCATCAGGAGTAAAGAGACAACTCACAGAATGGTAGAAAATATTTGCAAATCATATAACTTACATGAGACTTGTGTCTGGAATATATAAAGAACTCTTATAACTCAGTACGAAAAAACAAGCCAGTTGGGTAAAGGACCGCCTGAATAGCATTTCCCCGAAGACCATATATTGTACCACTCCATTTGTATGAAATGTCCAGAATAGGCAAATCTATAGACACAGAAAGTGGATTAGTGGTTGCCTAAGACTGAAAAGACGGAGGAATGGAAACAGGGGGTTCTTGCTGAGGTGATGAAATGTTCCAGAATTGATCATGTCTATTGATAGGTACAACTCTGTGAATATACTAAATAAAACCCATTGCCTCTGTGACTGGAGCAAGTTACTTAACCACCCTCAACTTCATTTTCTCCCTGGTAAACTGGGGATAAGTACCCCCATCACCCCCACTTTAGGGTTACTTTGAGGATAAGATGAGGTAATACACCAAAGTGCTCTGAACAGAGACTGGCACAAAATAAGCACTAAAGATGTATTTGCTATTACAGTGAAATGTGAATTGTGAAACTTTAATACCATGTATACTGCATGCAAAAAAGTTTAGATTTGCAAGGGATAGTGTAAGAGCAACCAAATTTGTATAATGCTGACATATTCCAACCTGGTCTTTTAAAATGATGTTGTCCTGAGGAAACCAAGTTTTTGGTGTTTTGAATTGGCATCTAAGCCCTGCATCATATGGGGCTGAGCCAGGCCTGGAAGTGGCGGGGATGATGGGCCCTGCTCCAGCCATGAAAAACAATCATAAGCCCTCTTCTATAAAAGTCAGAAGATAAAAAGATATTTTTATAAATGATCTCTAGCTGGAATTTTTGACTGACTTGCTCTTTCTAGGGAGATACACTCCTGAAGATCCTGATTCAGTTCCAGTTTTCCTTAGTTTCTCACGAGTATGCTGAAACTGAGCCTGTCTAAGGCTCATTCCTGTAAAATGTGTCCTTCAGGCTTTTGTTTATTTCTGAGCAGGAGAAGGTCCTGTAATATTTATGCAGAAAATGACACCTCCCTGTAATTTCTGGCTGACTCTGGGATGACTCAGGTGCATTTTCCCTTTCTCTGGTTGATAGCTGCCAGCACAGGCAGTCAGCCAGTCAGCCATGCTGGCAGAGTGCCTATGTGCAAAGTACCGAAGAACTAAAAACAAAATAGGAGCTGAACTTTTGCTTTTAAGGTGTTTATACAACATTGGCCCAATCAGGATAAGCACACAGGATGTATATATAATGCATAATACACAACACAGAAGCATAAGTCATGTACTAGCAGGACCAAAATTGCCAATAGGCTCATGTCTGCGTTCTCCTAGGTCCTGTTTTCTATTTTCCTTCCTCACTTCAAGGAGCTTCCTTACACAGTCAATAAATATTTATTAAATGTTATCTGTATACCACACATTTGAGTAAGTGACACATACTGCCCTCCAGAGCTTCCTATGCAACTGGTACTTTCTGGGTGATTGCCCTCATTCCAGAATCCCCACCTGCCAATCCTCTCTCTCAACTTAGGGCCCTTTCCTCAGCTGTCTGTAAAGAAATAGGCATTACTTAAAAAAAGAGAATGTCACACCAAAGCATGACTAATGAACTACAATTTAATATTTTAACTTATTTGTCCACAGGAATGATTCTATACTGGTGGAATTATAGGAGAAAGGGCAGCTAGGTAAGGAGAGATGTAGTTTGAACAAAACCCCATGAGGCTTTCTTTCATAGGCAAGTACTCTTTAGATGGGGATTTGCAAGGCCGACACTGCAGGTATTACTTCTTTCTAGATCCTCTGTGAGATGGAGGCAACAGTGGGTATATTCCTCTCGGCCTTAAAATCCAAACAGCTAGTCTTCCTGGAGAAACAGTTATCTGAAACTAGGAGAATAATATTCTTTTCCTACCTAGAATGATTGTTCTAGAGTACTGAACATTATTTTTGCAACAGTGCTTTGATCAGTAATTTCTTAAATATAACTTATTGATAAGGCACCATTTAGAACAAAAATAAACAAAACAACAAACCCTTAAATGCTGTCCAGCCTGTCACATTAATCAACAAATTATTCATTGTTGCTTATGTGACCCTGATTCAGTCCCTGAGTGTGCGTTACATTAACTCACTCGAGACACAGGATCTGACTCCTGTGGGCTCTGTCCGGTTCATACAGATTGTACATGGTTGTTTCAGACACACCTTTTCCTTGATGTTAATCAGCTGAAGTCTCTCTGTTTACCCCTTACCAGCCAGAAAGCTGTTTGTCCTTCTAAGTAAGGTTCCTGCTTTTAGTCTTGGGCTCTATATCTGGCAGTATGAATAGGAAGAAAATATAATTATACTCCAGGAGCTTTATGCCATGGAGACAATTGTTTCTCTTTTAGAAAAAGTTCCCCCATCTGTAATTTTGTCTTTTTCCGTATTTGAGTTTTTAGTGTTCTACTCTCTTCCCAACTCCAACTCAAAATAATGAGTTAGAAATTCTAAACTCAGTTTGCTAGAAAACAGCTCTAAAAATGGAATATGATTTTAAAACTGAGAGATAATGTCCTTTGTATCTTTTAAGTCTTTTCATAGGCAATTTACTCTGCCAACTTTAAAATGAGGTTTGTAATTATAACTGAGGTATTGTTAGGTGACTAGAGGGATATGCCAAGTGGTATTAACATGGGAATTCCTTACAGAGTTATGAACCTGAAATGTTGTATTGAAAGGAAGAAATATGGCAAGTTCAACAGAGGGAGGCATGAATTTTGAAGTGTGGGAAATTATACGTGTAAACCTAAGCATGAGGATTAATCAGTCACTTACTGAGGACAGAAAACTGGTTTCCCAGCCTTATCTGGGAGCATGGTAGAAGATGAGGGCTTTGGGGAAAGAACAAATTACCAAAAGATCTTGATGTTATGGCTGCAAAAGTAAAGTTTGAAGAAGTGATTGAAGCCTAGGAATGTTTTTCTATCTTGTTAGTTAAGTCTGTATTTCTCGGACTTTCTAATCATTTCTCCCCATGAATATCGGAAAATTTTCCTGATTTAAATCCTGAACAAATGATTTACTTATACTGCTGATGTTCTAAGTGTGATATAGTGTTAGGCATCCTATAACCTTATTTATGAGAACTCAGTACTACGTAGTCAATACCACAAACCAATTTCCATGCTAAGGAGCCTCTTAGGTAAAAGTGTCAGCCATTTGCATATTGCAAAATAAATTATTATGGCTTCTGGGACTATGCTAGACTGGGTACCCTGAATGACCTTCTTGCTAAAAATAAACGGAAATGTAGAATAAAGTACATTTTTAAATTGTTCTAATGCATTGATAACCTGGAAAGTTAGTAATGAATACTCAAGGATCAAAACCTAAGCAAAGGCAGGAACCCTGAGGGTTAAGCAGAAGGCTGAAGGCAACATTTAGCTTGAGAGCATGTGAAGCTTCAGTCTTTATGCTTTTGAGAGTGGAGTAGACAGATGACAAGCTTAGGTCTGCTCAAGTTGGAGAGCATAAGAAGAAACAAAATTCAGGTATAGTCTGTTTACAGAAATATTCACCTGAAACTAAGAGATACAGAAAAATTCAAAGTAATAGGATACAGAA